CCTTACAACATTGAATACAGAGGAAATTATTATTATTATTATTTTTAAATTGATTAACAGAAAGAAACTTACTTACATTTTACACATATTTACTTACAGTAAATATCTACAAATTGATTTAAATGAGAGATTTTAAAAAAGTAATTGTTTGCACAAGTATTCACTCCCTTTACTATGACACACATCATTGCTGCAGCCAGTTGTGTAAATATATTTTAGAGTGATGATGAAAGAAGAGTATAGATCAGAACAGGTTGTTATAGAGGCTGCACAGGTTTTTATGTTGGTTTTCTTTTTAAGGTTTAGTTTGTTAGTCAGGTTTTGAGCATGATAACATTCTTAAGATACGTACTTTAATTTCTGGTAACTTCAGGCCATACACAACAGGATTTACTATGGGAGGAATAACAACAAACTCAAGTGATAAAATGACAGCTAGAAATGGATTCAGCTCTTCGAGATTAGTTCTGCTGAGAGCAATATCACAAAACACAGTAATGGAATAATTGACAAATGTAGTAATGTGTGGCAGACAGCTTTGTATGACTTTGCCTTTGAACTCTGCGGAGCGTTTCCTAGAAACAAGGAAAATTCGTGCATATGTATACAAGACAAAAACCAGGGGAAGAAAGACGGTGCTTATGGTCATAAACATGCCAACAAGATTATTAATCACAGTAGTGACACATGACAGTTTTACAACAGGCCAGTTGGAACAGAAGACCTTTGATATCTTATTGCCACACAATGGAAGTCTGGAGGCGAGATAGACAGGGGTTGCAACAGCAATGACTGGATAGATCCATGCCAAGGCGACCAACTTAGAGACCACCTTGGAGGTTATTTTGTTGTGGTAATGTAAAGGTTGACATACAGCAACATACCGATCATATGCCATAATGGCTAAAATGCTGAGCTCGTAGGATGCATATGTGTAAATGACATAGATCTGAGTGAAACAAGCTGATCGTGAAATCAAATGAGTATCAGACACAAGGTCTCTGAGAAATCTGAAGATGAAGCCAGCAGAGCCGTACAGAGAGTTAATAGAGAGACACATAATAAAAATATACATGGGCTCATGTAAAGTTTTCTCTCGTGATATTACCACTATTATAGTGAGATTAGCTGAGATAATAAAAGCATACACATGAAACACAAGACAAATGCTGGGTAGCGGTAGTTCCCAATGTTCAATATCACAAACATGGTGAGGTTGAAATAAGTACTGTTTTCCATTTACCCAACAGACAGTATCAGTGATTGACGAATAAAAAAAAAATTACACAGCTGGATCCTGTGAACAGTTACCATGCAGCTGCAAGTTCTTGTTAACTGGGTTGGTTTTGACTTTGAGAGCACCGAACCAATTGAGAGAACAGAGATTTCCACAGTGATAAATGATGCAAAATGATTACAAGTAGGTAAGAAACAATAAGCAGGTATGTTTAACCAAACTGTTAAAGTCTCAGTTATACTTACTGTATAAATGCATTGGTTCACCACTACTAAATGTTCCTCACGTTGTGCTTTGACAGGAGCAGCTGAGAGCCCTTGTCGCCTTTTCAGTCTATGCTTGTCACACACGATGATGTAATTGCAGTGATCACTGGGGAGTTTAATGTGTGCTAAACACATTAACACAAATTTCACATAGCTTTGATTGAAAACATTTGCTGATCATAATAAATATAAATCGCGTATATACAAGCAAGTGTATATACATTTCCCCTAACTATCTAACGGCAATATCAGGCCAAAATTGATATCACACATTCACACCTGTATTCCCACTGAGTTCTGATGAAGAAGATTAGAATGAACAAGAGTTTTGAGTGTTGTCAAAAATGTATTGACAGCACAAGCTACTTCAAAGCCCAAATTCTGAATTAAAACTCTGAAGCATTATTCTAGGATTTGTATTATCAGCAGTACAATTCTGATATGGCTAATGTTTCTATTTCAACTACAACATACTGGTGGCTTATGGTTGTTAAATGTATGCTAGTTTACACTTATGATGAAAGGTTGATTGCATTTAATTAATCAACTTAGTTTCTTAAATCTTGGATTTATTCAAAACATTTAAACATGCACAGTGTATAAAGCCATGCTGGCAGCATTAGTCCAGACTGAAATATCTCAACAGCTACTGAATGGATTTCCTTGACATTAGGCGAACTACCCTAACTTATCTAGCTCCACCTTGACATTTGTGGTTTTGAGTGCCGATTCTAAATTGACACGACATACAGAGCAGCTTTTCCCCCCAAGCTATCAGGCTTTTAAACTCTAACTCATGCTAAGCACTGCTCCACTGACCTTTTTAATAATTTTAATAATTGCTTCTATATTGATGTAAGTTGTCTGCTACGTAGCAGAAGGAAGTTACAAACTAAATTTCACTCTATAACCTGTTGTATTGTGACAAAATAAATCTACATACCTACCTACATTTGGCATAAACATTCATGTCCCCCTCAGGATCAAATATAATATCTTTGTTCAACATTTGAATTCGTCCAATCCTTGATTTTTAACCAAGTACATGCAAAACCAATAACATTTTTACCAGCCTCAGTTGCACTTAGTGCTAGCAAATGTTTGCATGCTAACACGCTAACCTTACATGGTATCCTGGCTCGTATGTAGTTGTGAAATCAGTTTGAGTTGCTGTTTTATTGAACTAAGGCGGTAGATCAGCCTTTGTTTATTATCAAATTAGGTCAAAGCCCAATGGATCTCTTGAATGCATTAGTTAAACTACAGGATGCTATGCTACACTTGAATATGAAATTTATACAATTTGTTGTGGAATGTTAGGGCAAAGAATTGGAGGACCTAGTATGGCCTCTCAGGGCTCCAGACAAGCTTTTCCACTGATAGCACTGGTGCTACTAACTCTCACAGCTGGTTGCACTGGCACATGGTTTGGTCGCCCCCCCGCCCCCCCTTTTTGGTACCGGTATTAACCAATGACTGGTGAGAAATGTGGAGGGTCTCTGTGTTTTGGGTAATGCATTAGACCCAGCAAGTTTTGTGTTTCTTACTGTTGTTGTGCAATTTCAAAGTTCAAAGCAAAAACTGTGTTGACCTGGTAACTAGTTTATTCCAATAAAAAGGCCTATTTGATGCCCTGAGATGAGATTCTTATGAGATGAGAACGTGTTGTTATGTAGTATTGTACTCAAAAAGAGTTGAGGCTGTAATTGGTGCCAAAGGTTCTATAACAAAGTATTGAGCTATGAATACTTATGAACATGTGCTTTTTTTGTTTTTTATTTTTAATTAATTTGCAAAGATTTCAAACAAACTTATTTTACGTTGTCATTATGGGGTATTACACCTTTCGCCCATTGTCAGCTGTGATTGGCTCCAGCCCCCCCGCGACCTGTACGCATGATAAGCGGTTGACGATGGATGGATGGATTATGGGGTATTGTTTGTAGAATTTTGAGGAAAATAATGAATTTCATCCATTTTGGAATAAGGCTGTAAATAACAAACTATGGAAAAAGTGAAGCGCTGTGAATACTTTCCGAATGCAGTATGCACCCAACTTCCTACTCCCCTTACTAGCTGCTAAAACTGTGTCCAGGTTTACATGGATTGTCACTGCTGATACACAGAGTGCTATTTATCGTTGGTATGGAGTTATCATCATTATACAATATCAAAATTAAAACATTTTACCCAACTCAGCACACCTCAACAGTACACTAACTTCAATAATTTCAGCTTCTGTCCACATCTGAGCAGAACGAATGCCAAAATCATAGACAAACTCTTTATAAAACACCTCTGTTGGTTCTCTTAAAAACTGCTCCAAGGACAACAGTCTCAGCTGCCACTCATTTCACCAGCAAATGTTGATAGTGGACACTTGTATGTGGCCTGTGTGCACCTGTCAAGGATGACCAGGCTCATGTTAAAATAGGTACCCCCTGTAATTTTAAAAAACTACCAGCGGTACCTATGAGTTCTTTTTAAATTCCTCCGAAACACCAGATTGTTGCAGCAGGCCATCCTGTACAATGTAAAATTAAAATAGGTATCAAGTGGTAGTGTAGAAATCCAAAGCTAGTTGCTGTTTGGGGGGGTTCAGCAAACGGTCAGTTCATGATTCGAGAGAGAATGATCAGAAGATGATCACAGGTGGATATTAGTGAATGTTTACATTGTACACACTATCTTGTTTGATAATGTGACCTTTACAGTGGAAACAAAAACTTACTCTGAAACCACTTCCTCAGTGAACAAGACTACCAGCAAGTTAGTAGCACGATCATGGCAGTTAGAAGTTTTTCACACCTTGGCTATGATTCGCAGTTAAATATGTTGCTCAACAGTGGGGAGAATATGGACTAGACCTGCTCTACATGAAAAGTGCAACAAGATAACTTCTGTTATGAATTGGAGCTGTATAAATAAAACAGAATTGATTTGAATAAAGTCACTTCACATTACCAATTCATCTGGATCTTAGTTTGACAGGTTTAGTGCTCATTTGTTGTTTTAAAGGGGACATGTTCACACAAATACTTTGAAACCTTAGTCACACAGTTTTTGTTTTATTTCTTAGTGTTAAATAATTTAATCAGAAGCAGGTCAATGACATATGCTACAATAATAGGATGATATACAGTACATTTCAAGTTTCATTTCAATGATTTTATTCCTAATCACAAAAAGGCAAGCTGTCAAGTGACCACACAAGGTGCATTTTGTGAATCACATTTTATTTACATAAATTATCTCAGACACACAAATGTAAAAAATATAATTCACCGTACAACTCACTAAACTATCGGCTAAATGTGATTGCAAAAGAATTGCTAAAAAAAGGACATATTTTAAGTATCATCATTTCAACCTCAATTTAGAGTACTACCAAATAAAAGGAGGCATATAATTCAACACACTAAATCTAACACACTAAATCTTGAGGATAAAGGATGTTATACTCACGTAAAGGGAATTAATATAGACAAGACAAACAATTATTTGGTTTTAAAAGTAATCAAATACAGAATTTTGTTGCGAATTTTGGTCAATTTGAATCCATAAATGAGAGGATTCATAATAGGAGGTATGACAAGAAATTCTATTGCAACTACATTTTTAAAGGTTTGAGGTAAATCTTTTGACCCAAATCGCATATTTACGACATCAAAAAGTATTGTCACAACAAAAGTCAGTAAGGAGGTTAAATGTGGCACACATGTTTGCATGAACTTTGCCCTGTTTTCTGCAGAATTCACACATGTTTTAATGAGATACATGTAAGACCAAACAATAAATACACCATGAAAGACATATATCATTAATGTTATGTATGCAACAATGTCATTAACAAATGTTTCAGCTGGGAAACAAGCAAGTTTAACAATAATCCAATTCACACAAAAGAGCCTGGCAATATATGGGCTGCATAACTTTAATCTAGATGCTAGAAAAGTATTTGTGGCTACAATGCAAAAAGGTGTTACCCAAGAGAAACAAACTAACATTAAGACTCTTTGCTTTGACATGACAGAGTGGTACTCCAGTGGTCGACATATAGCCACATATCTGTCAAATGCCATTACTGAAAGAATAGACAGATCACTGCAGGCAAATGTGTATATTACTAGAGCCTGAACAAGGCATCCAGAATAAGAGATCACATGAACAGGAGAAAGCAGATCCCAGAGAAACTTGGGGTAGAAACCTGTTGTTCCATAAAGTCCGTTCATGCAAAAAGTGCACAATAGAATATACATTGGTTCATGCAGGTTTTTATCCAAGATGATGGTCACGATAAGAGAAACATTTACCAGTAAAATCACACAGTAACACAGTAAAGTGAGAGAGAAGAGAGTAAATCTGTGGGTATTCGTTTCATTCAAACCTGAAAGAAAAAACATTGTTATTTCAGAGACATTATCCATCATTGTTAGGACCCTTTACGTGTGATGGGTAGCTCTTTCCCTAACAGTATCACTCTGATCTCCCTTCTCACTGTCATTAATATTTTGTCTGACTACAGAAACACATGACCTGGGAATTCAAACCAACCAATCAGCGTTCTGAAAGAGCTTTCCTCTTTTGTTCAGTGTGTTGCAATCCACTGTACAAGCATTAAAAAACTACGGAAACCTGAAGGCAGAAAGAGTTTAATACTCCACCAATGTTGTACATTTTTATGCTTAATGTTATGTCCAAATATATTTTTCATCACAATACTGTGGATTTGAGGGTGTATTTATGCTAATTTCACTGTCATGGCTGATTACTATTACAATAATCTCCAGGGACCATTTTGACAAGATAATTTACATTAGGCCAGTCTTAATTTTGCTCTTAGATTAGTGTAATCCAAGTTATACTGTAAAATAAAAACTGACTGACTTTATATGTATATATGTATTTTTACAACTGCTTACAGACAAACTCTTTACATGTCACATGATTTTTTAAACTTCTCACTCTAAGAGCAAAACTACACACCAAATCTGCAAAACCATAAACTATTTCACAGCCTTTCACTCAGTTTTCAATTGCATAAAACATTTTTTTTTAAACACTACACACAATTCTCTACCACTTGCTTCCCTTTTCCAAACAGAAAAAATCTAAATGCCTAATCTAATGACTAATTCAGCATTATAGTATTGTATTGTATTGTAAAATACATATTACTGCTGGCACAATGGCACAAACATTTGAAGATCTACGCCATCCATTTACTGCACTGCATTGTATGAATAAAGTTGGTTGTCATGCTGTACTACAATATTTTGTTCATTTACAGTAACTATGCTGCACACACTCACACTGTTCTTGAATTTTCTACAGACTGGAAAGGGGTATTAACCGATTCTAATCTAAATTTTGTCAGTTGCCTCCATGAAGCCAAACTTTTTGTTTTTACCGGGTCATTTATTCAGCTTGTAGATTCTGCTGGTGTTCATGTCTACACACACCATTATCCACGCAATATTTTTTTAATAGTTTATATTTTGATATATAGATTATTGTTCATAATGTTCATAATGTTGGCTGATAGCAGTTAGCTCGGTGATGTGGGTTCTCTATAAAAGAGACTTATGTGTTTCCATTATTTTCGGTTAAAGGCAACCTCATAATTAAAGTATTTACATATAGCACTGATTCAGCCAGTAAGTAAACCATATTACTGTGTTGCTTCATCTCTTTCAATGAAAGTATGTCAGCCTTTGGTGGTTACATAACAGCCAGTAATGTTACATACAATCAGTGTTGGTGACTAACTAATTATATAATTACTTAGGTAAATTAATTACAAACTAAATGTAACTGTAATCCATTACTTTCAGATACAACATCAGAGGGCCAAATTAACTGTAAATCACATCTTGTATGGGCAACCTCTGAAATTAGGTGAGTGCATGTGATTGTCTATATTAACTAGACATCAAATAGTTTCCAGCAACATAGTTTCCTGCAAATATTTACAATCCTGTCCTTGTTCTTATTTCTTTTCCAGATAGAATATGTGAATGGGTGTGTGGGAATGTAAGGTATGTTGTTGTAAGCAGGGACACGGTACTTAAAAATTGCAAGCTAAAACATGGACAGGAACAAGTTCTGCCTCTAACACCAGGAATCCACTGATTCCGGCTACGGCACGTTACAGCTGTGTCATGGTTTTGATGCGTCCAGAGCCCGGTGTCAAAGTCCACTGGAAGCGACTCAGAAGTGTTTCAGCAGCAGATGTGCAGCCTGCTCCACGTTATTGACTTTTATTAATTGTGACCCTGTTTCGTTCCGTCAACTTCAGGCATATCCCACAAGGAACATTTCAAAATCAAAGCATTTTGCCTGCCTGATTTTGCTGAAATGTTGAGATTTTGTTGATTTGGTAATCAGTGTTTTCATTTTTTGCTTCTACTATGATTAAGTAGGCTACTTAGTGAGTCTCTATGCTGTTCTGTGTCTGACCTCCTGCCTGGTTCGATCTGCTCTGTGCTGCTTGATGCGGCTTGTGTCAGAAGTAGATCTACTACCTATTCTTTGAGGAGCGGAGCAGAGAGCCACTTCTGGGACGCTTCTGGTGGACTCACATGCTCCGCCTATGATGTTGAGATGAGATCCCGTTGTCTGGGATACCATTACATTTAGTCATTTGGCAGACGCTTTTATCCAAAGCAACTTATATTTGAGGAACAACATACAAGCATCAACATAGCATCAAATACAGCACGAGATTTGCAACTGACAATACATTCTAGTAAGGGCAGCAATAAATACTAGTAAAAGCTAATAGTGCGTATCACATCAATGGGGTAAATACCCAGGGAATAAAGTTGGAGTTAACAAAAAAGTGTAATCAATACAAGAGAACTGTAAGGAGAAGAAGAAGAAGAAGAGCAGAGGAAGTGCATGTTTGATGTTAGGAGTTAGAGGTGTTATAAGAGGAAGTTTTCTTGGAAGAGATGAGTTTTCAAGAGCTTCTTGAAGTTAGAGAGGGACGCTGCTGCTCTGATGGCGTGTGGTAGCTCGTTCCACCGTCGTGGTGTCACAGATGAGAACAGCCAGGACTGGGATCGCTTTGTGTGAAGGGATGGCAGAGCCAGGCGGCGTTTGTCGGAGGAGCGCAGTGGCCGAGAAGGAATGTAAACTTGTATTATGGAGTTTAGGTAGATGGGTGCAGACCCAGTAGTCCTCTGTGTGCAAGCATTAGTGACTTAAATTTAATTGAGAGGCCATGGGTAGCCAGTGGAGTGACATGTCTGTGAAGATTCTCAGTCATCCAGGAGGTCAGAGTTACCCAAAGAAGGTTAAAGTTAAGGGCAACTGGACTTGGTTAAGTGGAGTGACATGATTCCTTTTGATCTGAAAATCAGATGCGCTGCTGCGTTCTGAACCATTTGTAGGGGTTTCACCGCACAAGCTGGAAGATCTACTAAGAGGGCACTGCAATAATTGAGGTGAGAGATAACCATGGCCTGTACCGGAAGCTGGGTGGCGTACTGAGTAAGGTCTTTTGTTATGCTGTATAGAGCAAAGTGGCACAACCGAGAGACAGTAGCAACATAGTCTGAAAAGCACAGCTGGTCATCAATCATGACACCCAAGTTTCTCACCACCCTGGTTGGAGTGATGGTTGAGGAGTCAATTTGTAGTTTGATATTATAGTGGATAGATTGCTGGGCTTGAATGACCATGAGTTCAGTCTTAGAGAGGTTTAGTTCAAGGTGGCAAGCCTTCATCCACGCAGAAATGTCTCAGAGACAGTCCATGATCCGCACCAAGACGGTGGGGTCGTCTGGCTGGAAGGATTGGTAGAGTTGCGTGTCGTCTACATAGCAGTGGTAAGAGAAGCCATGTGATGATCGACCCCAGAGAGGTGGTGTAAATTGAGAAAAGAAGGGGCCTATCACTGAGCCTTGGGGCTACTAGTGTCTTTCAGATACAGACTGTTTTTGAAATGAAACAGCAGTTCAGCCTCCAATTCAAGGACGCAGACTTTGGGAATGAATGTGTCAATCTTATGTCAACAGTGAAAGCAGAAACAGGGATACTTTGAAATTGAGTTTTTTTCTGTGAAGAAACTAGCTTCAGTATTCCAGAAATGCCACCACCATGTAGCACCACGACACCAGTAACTTCACCCATTACACTCAACCCTGGAGCCCCCCAGGGCTGTGAGCTCAGCCCCCTCCTGTTCACGCTGTACACCAACGACTGCATCCCCCAACATGGAGAGAACTTTGAGGACGACGCCACCATCATCGGCCAGATTTCAAACAATGATGAGACTTCATATCGGGAGGAAATTCATAATCTTGCAGAGTGGTGCTCAGAGAACAGCTTACTGTTCAACGTCAGCAAAACCAAGGAGCTGATTATTGATTTCAGGAAAAAGGGGATAGATACACACACTTCTGTCTACATCAGTGGTGCTGAGGCGGAGCAGGTGAACAGTTTCAGGTTCCTGAGAACCAGCATCACAGAGAACCTGACATGGTCATCTGGTGTTATGAAAGTAAAGTAACGCTACTTATGCAATTTACGTAACTTAAATAAAAACTTAATTCAATGCTGACTATTTGTTTCGCATGGGAAACAAATACCGGTCTCGTGGTCGAAAGTCGAGGCGAGAAGCAAACAGCTCAGGCAGGCAAAAACTGGCAGGTAGCAAAAAGCTAAATCGCAAACAGGTTGGCTGGTATGAGGTAACATACTCTATACTTCAATACAATCCGGCGAAGACTGGATGTGTTGCTGCTCCTGATGCAGTACAGGTGAGGTGAAGACATCAGAGGCAGGTGTGTGGGGAAGCCAGAGATGGGCACGCCCCCCAAAGCGCTGCCAGAGAAGCGACCAGGAGATAAACACAAGACACAACAAAAACACACCAAGCACCTAGCATGTAAAAAAAAGACAAATACACAATCTCACACAAATAAATGAAGGCCGGGGATTCGTGAAAGCTATGGGGATCTCCACTGCGTTACAAACTGACGCTGACGGGTCTTGACCATGCATCCATTTGTGACGACTAGGGAGTCAAAACAGGTTGGCGACACTTACGACTCCATTCATGGTTTCTTTGGGTTTCCGAGCATTGTTTTGTGGCACCATTTGAAATTGACAAAATCAAGTTACCTGCCTCTACGAAGATTCATCCTACCTTCACATGTCTCTGCTCAAACCTGTCTCCTCTTATAATATCAACTCATTGATCAATGAATCAATTTGTTGACAGTGAGAAAAATATAGAGTTACTCAGAGGCATTAGAAGAATTATGAAACACACGTGATGAAATCTTTTGCTTTTCTTTCAGACCATAACACATTTGTCAAAGCTACTGGTAAGGTTACTGCAATGACTTTTATTAATTTCCAGCCCACTACAATGCCCACCACTGCCCTGACATCCCTAACATATCTTCACCAGGTACTGAAACTGAGCTTGCAGACTAGTGTCACCGTGACTGGCATGTTTTGGGAAAATTTTAGTGAAAGAAAAAAATATGAAAACACATGAGATAAATATGGAATTAGCTCAAGACCTCTGATGCAATGTTTGATGTCAAGACTAATGAGAGCCCGTGGGATGGGACATTGTGTGCTTTCTTTCTCCAAAGGTTATTATATTGTAGAATAATTAAGTTGGAAATGGTCAACAGGTCATTATCCATCATCCCTCGAGAGCAATTAAGCACGCTTCGCTACCCTGGAGGGCCATCCTGGGTAACCAAACCAAAACAAAGATGTTTTTCAGTTTAGCACATGGTCAAGAGAATGAACAACAAACTTTGACAAAAACACAAGAGTAAGCAACAGTAGGTTTAGTCAGTGGTTTGAAAAGCCAGAGATGACTGACCCAGTGACCCCGCACAAGTTTGTAGAGACCGTTATGACAGTAGTAGTCACAAACTTTTTCTTGCAATGTACTTTGCACTAAAAGTGAACTGCATTTCTAGAGGTACTGAATTGTACAGAATTATAATGAACGACATGCCAGATTCAAAACCTAGTCAAACATGGCAACACATATGAGCCAGAAGTGGCTCACATTTGGTCATCTGATCTAAGAACATAGCCAAATGCGCTGGCAGTCAAATAAGAGCATCTTCACTGGTTACATGGTAGGCTATTAGGTGTTTTTAAATAAACAGGAGCCCTGCAGAAGCAGCCCATCTTCTCATTATTATTATATAGTTGCAGATATATTAGTGCAAAGTGTAGAAAATCCGATTTCCACTATTTTAGATTGTGATTTCATTGCTAAATTAATGAATGTGTCAATATACAGCTGTTAAAATACAATCTGCAGAAATGCTCTGGCCATGAAAGGGTTAAGCAAGAGGCCCTGCCTCTGTGACGCAACTAATCTGCAGCTGAGTTGCAGACTCCTGGCATCTACAGAAGTACCAGTTTTACTTTCAAAGTTGTAAGTGTATTTGTACGATGTAAGAGACTGCTGCTTGATTTCCTTTGTAACTGACTGTTTAATGCAGTGATTCTTTCCTTGTGTGCCTGCTAGATATCAAAAAGATGCAGAAAAACTACACTTCAAGAAGTGGATGAAGAGTTAAATGCTAGCAAGAGTGCAAAGTGCGTGCTTGTCCGGGTAGAAAACAGCTTTAACAAAGGATCAAGCAGGAAGATAAGAAGATACAAGACAAGAGAGAAGACATAGGCTAAAAGGAAGCAAGGAAACAAACTGAAGAGAAACAAGACCGGAGAGTGAAAAAGAACAAAGACGAACAAAGGAAACTGTTGAGGAACAAAGGTCAGAGAAGGCAAAATTGGCAACAGAACAGAGAGAGAAGAGTAAAGAAACACCACCATGTCCCACCGGCTGTTTGAGGGGAAGGCTCATGCCTCCATCTACCAAAAGTATCGATTTACTCCTCCAGATGAGGTCAAGAACTATATTCTTCAGTATCTAAACAAAAGGGTACGCTATGGCAACATGTACTGTAAATATACAGTACTTTGTGTTTAATAGTGTACATAACGCACTTTAATATGGCATTCTGAGTAAATGAAGCAGAAATCTGCAACAGTCAACATAATTGACAAAAAATCTCTGCATATCTGTTAACACCCACAGAAGGAAGAGCCACATGTGCTGGCAGTGGATCTGGGATGTGGGACAGGTCAGAATTCCCGGCTAATGGCACCGTACTTCCAGGAAGTGGTGGGCATTGACATTAGCGAGTGTCAACTGGAGGAGGCCAGAGCTGTGCCAGGGTTTCCTAACGTCACATACAGGTAGGAGTGTGTGTTTGTTACTCTGTATGTGTGGGCGAAACTTTTACATGATAACGTTCCAGAAGTATTTGGAGAGTGTCTTGTCTGTTGCACCTGCAGGAAGGGGGTAGCAGAGGTCCTTCCTTTTCCAGATGGCTCAGTAGACTTGCTGACAGCAGCGTCAGCAGCCCACTGGTTTGATCAGTCGAGGTTCCTAGTTGAGGCAAGTCGGGTTTTAAAACCCCGGGGTTGCATGGCTCTGCTGGGCTTCTGTGACTCTAACACCAGACTTCACTACCAGAACTGTGGAGAAAGACTCACTCACATCTATGAAGAGGTGGGTGTAGATTTAATTTAATGGGAGTCGTGTTGAACCTAATCAGCAGTGCAATGCTTTGTTGACACAGAGTGGCAGTATCAGCTCTAAACTTGGGAGCTAAAACACACTAAAAAGTTGGGCTAAATAAATATCATAGTTCAACAATTAAAAAAAGAAATACCACAATTTATCTCTCAGTTTTTCGATGCTGGTGTCAAGCTGGTGGTCAGCTTAGTTTAGCATAAAAACAGGAAGCAGGGGGAAACACCTAGCCTTCTGTCCAAATTTCAAAAATCAACCTATACCATAATATGTATGTATATATGTATCGTTTGTTTTATTTGTACAAACAGACAGACACAAAATACATGCTTTACAAAGTCAATGCATAATGAAAGAGTTAAACATTTCTATAAATTCACTTCCAGGTGAAGCTGGCGCTGTTGCCACACACTAGCAATCAAGTAGCTGTATCTGAGGGTAAGCTGGAAGAGATCTACTCAGCCATCCCTTTTCCAGACAAAGAGAGGTATTACCACACAAACCCTTCCTGTACCTAATCAAACATTAAACACACCTCTGTGATATCTAAATACAATACAGTTGCCTGCTGGCCCTTTAAAGACAGATACAGGATTAAACCTGAGTTACGCTATGTTGGAGAAACTAACAAGAGTCAAATTAAAGTCCAGAGCCACTCCCGCAAAACACATTTTCAAGCACAGTGGGTGCACGGGCAGGGCATGGAGAAGGATAGTGTAAGTAGAATTTTGCGCCCCTTTTTGTCAAAGACAGGATTAGTGCAAAGCTGAAATCATAATCTAACCTTTTTTTGTGTGTGTGTTTGTTTCAGATTTATGTAAAAAAGAACATCCGACAAGAAAATTGAATCAAGTAGACAAATCAAAGTGATTAGAATAACACAATAAAAAAATGTATTACAGCCCAAGACTTTTTAACTCTTGTCAATGTCCATTACATATTCGAAAAGGAGTGGGAAGACGAAAAAAAATGATTTTATCCCACCCCCTATCCACAAATCAAAAGCTTACATATAATCGACCGGCGTTCCAAATATTTACACATCTACTTTGTCATACCCCAAAGCAATTCAAAATGTACATCAATTATTTAAACAAGAAAAAAAATTAATAGGAAAGAATAAATTATAAATTTCAGCAGCTCAGAAAAAAATGAAGTAATAATAACAACACAATGAAACTGAAGATAATTACTAGCCCCAAAACACTCTGTGATTATTCACTCCCTTCTTCATCCCTGTAACCATTGAAAACCATATCTTTATACCTGATTTTAAACTGATTTATGTTTGGACATTGCTTTAGTTCCTCATTGAGACTGTACCGTAGCTTTACTCCAGAGCTTGAAATACAACAACTTTTCCTGGTTGTCCGTATCCTGTTTGTTTTGAAGAAATCTGTGAATTTTAATCATTTTGACTGTAAGAATAATGAGTGTGATCCCTATACGCAGCGTTGTGAATAATTCCTATTGATCTTTTTTTGGAGAACAGAGAATGAATGTAATGAACTTTTGCAGTTTTGTCCCCAGATCTTAAAGTAAATTAAATATGGTAAAACTAGTGAAAAGTACAACATGTGGAGTGATTTTTGATCCAGAACCTGCTTTACTTTGTTTAATACTGCAATTGATATTGATAGTTTGGATTGTACATGATTAATGTGTGATTTCCAACTGATTCTGTCATCTATAATTACCCCAAGAAATTTTTTTTCATGAACTCTATCAATTATAACCCCATCTATTTGTATGTTCACCTGAATATTCATATTGCAATTCACAAATAACATTATTTTAGTTTTATTTAAATTTAATGATAATTTATTTCTATCAAATCATATTTTTAATTTCTTCATTTCTTTAGTGACATCCTTCACTAGTTGCTGTAAGTTTTCACCTGAACAGGATATATTTGTTTTATATCAGTATTTTTGTTATTGTGTATGTAATAATAATAAATCAATATAATGATACTCTCAACAGGATTGAGAGTATTCGGGTGAGCTCACCAATCTCTGTGAGGAACCTGGTGGGTTTCATTGAGACCTGGTCCATGTTCCAAGCTTCCAAGAAAAAAGATCCCCAGACTGCTGAAGACCTGCTGCTCAAGACTCAGAAGAGGTCACCTATCTCCACACACACACACACACACACACACCACAAAATGTACATTTGTAATTGTAATAATACAATATATATCCTTCAGTCATCCATTTTGTAAAATATTAACTGCCTGCTTTTTTTTCTGTGGTTCTCTACTGAGCTGATTAATGAATCACTGCACTGCTTCACAGGTTTCTGGATGAGATGGGAGTCACGTCTCCTGACACTGAAATAGAGCATGAACTGGAATATTTCTGTGTCCTGGCATCAAAACCACAATAATCAACAATGTGGCATTGAGAGAGAGAGAGAGAGAGAGAGAGAGAGAGAGAGAGAGAGAGAGAGAGAGAGAGAGAGAGACATTATGTTTGTGAGTGTCAGATATGCTGCAGTTTTCTATTTGTTAACTTAGGAGTGTGCTTGTGATTGTCTTGTGTAATGCAAGTGGATAAGTCATATGACAAATAATTCTGATCAGACTTACAATATTATCCCTTAACACTGCTTTTTGTCATAGTTTAACGAATAGTTTACAATTGATGTACTTGTGTGTTGACATATTCATCAATAGAACATTTACAAATGATTTCATATGTACTGAATTTTGCTTGTAAGTAAATTTTGTTTCTCAACAGAACAGCTGATCCCTTGTAGCCTTAAACGCACACTGAGAGGTTATATAACTGAGAAAAAATAAATTCTTTTGAAATATAACATGCCTACTGTTATTTCACAGAAGGGGTGCTTAGTTGCTTTGGTTTAAATGAAAAGTCAAGTTTCTTTTAGCCAAGCCCATTTACTTGTTAGAACTGCTTTTGTGCCCTTTCTTTATTCTCTGCTCTTTTTCAGTAAGTAGACGGCAGCTTGGCACTGCTGAGTTTGGATTGCACTTGCTTTCACAATATTCTCTTCCGTTGCAAAATGTCTGCATAACAAAAACCCGGAGTAAATTTCTGCGATGTTCTTTCTCTGCAAAGTTGTATTATTTTTCTATATTCTTTTTATTATTCTTATATAACTTGCATTGTTTATTCCATATCTCTCTATATATAGATTTATTTATGTCAGCTGAATTTTTGTCTAAGTGTAGCACCTTATCACCAAAGCAAATTCCTCATATGTGTAAAACACTACTTGGCAATAAAGCTCATTCTGATTCTGATTCTTTGTGCAATGTAAATTAAACTTAAGTAACTAATGTGAATGGTTTTTTAGTAAGAAATTGAAGGTAAGCAAATCTGTCCTGTAAAAATATACTGTAGTTATATTTTCAATAACAATAATGAGAAATAAAATTATTTTTACATAATTCAGACGTTTCTGCCACCTACCTAATCTTTTTTGGCCTATTTGGAAAAAGATTACACTTAATTTATAGGGGTTTTGCATCCCTAGGAGTTGTAGTGTTAAAATAAAACAGCATGACTCTGACCTCTGATTATTAGCATTATTAGTTCGTTCTGGGGTCTTATCAGGTGTAAGATCACCATTAAATGTGTAAAAATTTCATTATCAACAGATGTCCTCTACAAAGTATGACTGCCACTTAATTACTACCTAGTACCTGAAGTTAGTGCATGAAGAGTTTGTTGACAAATGAAAAGTTGGATAAATTAGCAATAAAACACACCTTGTTCAATCCAATAAACTCGACGGTTTTGCAGTTACAGTCTTATTTGGTATGGTGTGACTAGTAGCTCATGGTAGCTAATGTTAGCAAGCTTTAGATAGATGTGTGAGTGACACTATTGGGTAATTTTGCCGACTTTAAGACTCTTCTCTACGTGTTCTCATGGGTTCAAACTAATAGACGAGGATCTCCTGTGGTCCCACGAGATAGGCCCCACCCCCCTTATGATGTGATTGGCGATCCCGTGGACCCCCGCAATTTTCATTGGCTCTTGGAGATGTCAATTCTGATCACGCGGAAGCTTTTGCGTTGGCTTTGAAGTGTTGAAGAAGACAGTTCTGCAGCAATACGCACCTTTGAAGTAAGAACATTATACGTTCCTGAGAATTGCATGCATCTGTGAGTCATAATAATGTTGTGCAAACTTCTATAACAATATTCTATAACATTTGGTTCTGTTTGCATTGGAAAATGTTCTTGTGGGTAGCCTTGCGGTTCATATGCATAAACGTTATGTTAACTTGGTGGAAGCTCCCTCTAATTTAACTAAAGCCGTCATTTTGTTACAAACCCAGGCTTATTTCTTTACGCTTTTGTTTAAGGTCTTAATTTGCTTTTTGCGTTTTAGTGGACAGAAACCCTTCCTTTCTTAACAAGGCTTTTATTGTGAAACTTTTGCAGGAACGTGTTGTGAAAAACTCATCTAACTTGCATGGTTCCCATACGGTACCTGATATGTACCTACTGCCATCTTGTGGCTTTTTACGTTACTACAAAATACAGTTTGTGCTGAGATATTAAGGGACATATATCCATATTTTAGGTGACTAAAATACGTTTTACTCCTGAACCTGTCAACAGCAACAGCAGTACATTGCTTCGCTTCCGTGCAACTCTCTGCCTCTCCAAGCTGAGGACGCACGACTGCCAGCTACTGCAGGAAATACACTGAATGTGGATAAAAAAAAACCAAATACAAACGCACTTAAAAAAATCCCGAACTATTCCTTTAAGACAGTTTACTATTAATAAAAGTAATAATCGAGGGAATAATAGTCATAGGCTACTGTTGGTGAGTTTACTAATTGCACTTGAGAGCCAACAGTGTAAAATGAAAGTTCATATGAACCTTCCTTACAAGGTCAAATAGTTAATGTAGCCAACAAAAACACAGTGGAGACATAAAGACACCTTAATAAAGACAATTTATTTATTTCCACTTAGTAGTCTAAATGTTGACAGAGTGGCATGACTTCATATCCTTTACTGTATTTTGCTTGTCTTAAGTATGCTTCAATTTGCAGTGAAACTTCAACCTCTCAAAAGCGTTTCTCAACAGAACAGCCGATCCCTTGTAGCCTTAAATGCACACTGAGAGGTTACATAACTGGGAAGAATAAAGTCTTTTGAAATATAACATGCCCACTGTTAGTGCACAAAAGGGTTGCTTAGTTGCTTTGGTTTAAATGAAAAGGCAAGTTTTTTTTTTAGCCAAGCCCATTTACTTGTTATAACTGCTTCAGACGGCAGCCTGGCACTGCTGAGTTTGGATTGCACTTGCTTTGTGCAATGTAAATTAAGCTTAAGTAACTAATGTGAATGGTTTTTATAAAGAAATTGAAGGCAGACAAGTCTATACTGTAAAAATATCGAAATGTATGTAGAAATAGAACGTGCATGTGAATGGGTATTTATAGCAATATTTTTTCATATTGCAGAATTTTCTAGCACCTACCTAATCTGTTTTGGCCAATTTGGAAAAAACTTGACACTTAGTAGTCTAAATATTAAAGACAGAGGACTTGGGATTACAATTGTATGGCGACTTAATCCAAGAAATAGACTAAAGTCCATTACGCTTGCCACCACACCAGGGCAACACATTTATACAATGGCAATGAGTAACAAACAGCCAATGGTTTACAGAGTACCATGCGATTTATAAAATACAAGAAATAAGCCAATAGGTTCGGACAGCGGAGTGCTGTACATGTGATGGTAATACCACACGTGGACACATACCATTCGTATCTGACCCACATCATCTTCAGGGGATTCAACTGGTTCTGACAGAAACACTAACCATCAAATGACCCGTACGCTGGTCCTTACTCACACAGACCTTTGAGCTGGACATTGATCTCCATTTTGACCCAATTGGCATAAATGCGTTCAAAACATAGCAATAATTATGTGCAGCATAAACAGATGGCACATCATATAAAGACAAATAGTTTTGGAGCTGTCCCTTTAAAGGCCTCATTGTCAAACATAGCACGTACCAGTGGAAGTAGTGGGACCTCCCAGTTCCCAGGCACCCCACTGTGTGTGAGTGACTGCTTGCAGAAAGGAATGCACAGTCTTTTGAATGTGGATGTTAGCTTCTCTTTTCTATAAAAAAAACCACAAGATTTCCCAAAATTGCTTTCATTTCTTTTTTTGAACTCATGCTAGATCAGCTGTTCACAGAAGCGTCAACTAGTTATGGCTTACCGTCTGTTTGAAGGCAAGAAACACGTTTCTTCCTACTGGAAGTATAGGATCTCTCCACCAGACCATCTGATACAACAGGTGATTGACTTCCTGGAAAAACAGGTGAGTACAAGTGGATAAATGGTGGTGGCATCTGTGTACACTAACTCGTACGTATTGTCATTGGGTAATGGCAAAGCTAACTTTACAGCAATGTCATATAACATGTTAAATGTTTTGTCAGAAAGGTCGTCCCTTTGAGCTGGCTGTGGATGTGGGATGCGGCTCAGGACAGGGGACAGTGCTGCTTGCCAAACACTTTGCTTCTGTGGTAGGGACTGACGTTAGTCCGGCCCAGCTGGAAGTGGCTGTGCAGCAGGCCAACAAGCCGAACATTACCTATAGGTAAGCATGGACCAACCAAGAGTCACAATCATCTTTTCATTTTCAACATCCTTTTAAACTTAAGGTCTATAAACAAAGATTTTACATAAGATGCAGTGAGACGTTCTAATAACATGCTTTACAGTTGTCTCAATTGTTCAGCTGTTCAGCTCTGAAAATCTGGAAAGCTACTTTATTAAATGTTGCCAAAGCAGAAACAGTGTGAATGCCAAATGTGCCTATTAATTTTTTATGGGCGAGCTGGAGATCCGGCCGTGTGGTGCATGATGGCGAGTTGACTGACCGTTTGCCGTATCTGAATTTGCATAAACACGACTCCCTGTCAACTTTATGGAAATTAGTTTGTCCAGTGCAAATCATCAGGCTTATGAAACTCAGATCAAACTTTCAAATTAGGCAGTGCTGATAAAATATGAATCAATGTTATGTTACTGCATTGTCTGTTTCTCAAATGTTTTCAGAAACTTATTTTAGTGCACTGCTCTGATATGAGAAAGTATCTGACCTGGCCACCATCTACAAGTAAGCACCGCTCAACTTGTAGTTTTGTCACCTGCTAGCTGGAGCGTTCGTTGGTTTGGCGTGATGTGTCTCCAGCTTTAGACTGGGCCCAGAACTTTATTGCGGCGCCCTGACACACGTTATGCAAATAGACGTATTTGACGTATAATTGAATCATACCAGCCCTACTGAGCACTAGGCTGAAATTTACACAGCACGTTTAAGAAGTGTGTAGATAATTCAAGAGCTAGTACCTGGAAACCTCCTAAACTTTATACTATCAGCAGCTGTGTTCTGGATCAACATCATGACCTGTGTATGCTCATGTTTGAATTGAAAAAAGCTAGGTGGTCCACATTTCTGCTCCCCTGTTCTTTAGCAGTAGTCAGTTTGATTTTGGTGTTCTTACTGTTCCATCTTTAGACAGAGTGTGGCCGAGGAGCTGCCTTTTGCTGACAGCTCCGTGGACCTAATGACAGCCATGTCTGCCTTCCACTGGTTCGACCGACCACGCTTTCTCCAGGAGGCCCACAGAGTCCTGAAACCTCATGGCTGCTTGGCTCTGCTCAACTACACCATTGACATGGAGCTCAGCTACCCTGACTGCTGCTCGCATGCACTCAACCAAGTCTGCAAAGAGGTGAATATTTACCAGACAAAAGTTATTGTGAATGTGCACTGATACAAGGTTGTTTATTACACATTATACAGCACGACGCTGCATAACAAAACTAAATTTGTAGTTCCTTTGTGCTACACATAAGTATTAAAATATGGAAACGTATAAAATAAAACAATACAGTTATTTATATACATATATACAAACACGAATACACCCAAACATTCCACAGTGCATTTTTTGAATTTGCATCTGGGTTGAATGTGAACTGCAGCAACCAGATGATAACATGAAAGTTTCATCTTCACAATTACCAGTGTGATGCACCCTTAGCCACATGTACAGACTGTTTGCCTGTGAAAATAGTTCTGTTTAGTTCCATGAGCTGATGGATGATTGATGGCCGACAATCTTTGACCACGTAGCCCTCCACCATTGTAATGTTGTGATTTAAAAAGGTGCATTCATGATGACTTGAGAGATTACACTGCCAACATTGTTTCTAAAGTGATGAACACATGCTTCAGAGACCAATTGATAGTCAGTCCAACTGTTTTAAGTTTTAACTTGTGAATTCAAAGAAAGACCTCCTTAATTTATACAGCAGGGACACATACTTTAGAGGTGGTGTCACCTAGAAATAAATTCTTGACAATTAATAATGGGACATCTCCTGTAAGACCTAAATTTAAATGAACCAACTTTTAAAATAAAAAATTCTATGACAGTAGAAACCAATTCAAGTCTTGATTTTAAACTCAGTTGTCAGCTTTATGGTGAGTTTCCCTTGTTTTTGTTATTGTAATAAAGAAAGAAAAAAAACATTGCACAGTAGATGTTTGTAGATAAAGCACAGGTGTTACTAATAATTATGTCTCTGTTCTATTCAAGTGTCAGTAAGTCATGACAGTGTGACAGTAAGCCAGCATGCATAGTACCAGGACGCTACAGCCATCATTAATTATATATTTACACTTATGAGACTGTGACATGTCTCCTCTGAAGAGGGCCTACTAACTTTCATGTTATCATCTGGTTGCTGCTGTTTACATTCACCCCAGGTGCAAATTCAAAAAAATGCACTGTGGAATGTTTGGGGTTTGTACATATGGGGGTTTACGTATATAAATAACTGTATATACTGTTTTATTTTATTTTATATGTTACCATATTTTAATATAGGTCTACACTTAATATGTTGTGTGTGTAGCATGAAGAAACTACAAAATTCATTTCGTTATGCAGCCTTGTGCTGTATAACGACTGAGAAGCATTTTCATAGTAAATTAGTTACCAAACTGATCTACTGAGCTAAAAACTGCAGTAACCTTGTTATAAAAGCTGAACACACAAATAAAATTGATTTAAAACAAACAAAAAACTGAATCACAAACAATAACGGTCCCTCTTCAACATTAGACAGGCGCTTCTGAGACAAATACATGTTTACACATGTATTTTGTACTTTGCCTCTGCTGGGGTTTTGTACAAGAGTATCAACATCGCCATCTGCCTCATCTGCCTCATCTACCTGGGAGAAACCTTTTTCAGTTCAGCTGCTGTAGGGCACATACAGGTGCATCTCATAAAATTAGAATTTTGTGGAAAAGTTCATTTATTTCTATAATCTAAAATTATTAAAAAGTGAAATTTTCATGTATTCTATATCAATTACACAGAAAGTGAAATATTTTAGTTTTTTGTTTTAATCTTGATGACTACAGCTTACAGCTCATGGAAATCAAAAATCTCAATCTGAAAATATTGGAATTTTAGAATAAAGAATGTATAATACAGAACTGTCGACCGGAGAAGAGCATCTCTTTGTCTGGTTTAGTACACACGACAACAATCATGGAGAAAACGTCTGACTTGGCACTTGTCCAGAATACACTCATCGACACCCTCCACAGGGCGGGTAAGCCACAGAAGGTGATTGCTGAAAGGGCTGGCTGCTGGATCAAAGCATATTCATGGAAAGTTGACTGGAAGGTTAAAGTTAGGGAGGAAAAGGTGCACAAGCAACAGGATGGCTGCAGCATTGAGAGGATTGTCAAACAAAGCCGATTCAAGAATTTTGGGGAGCTTCACATGGAGTGGACTGAGGCTGGAGTCTGTGCATCAAGAGCCACCAGCTACAGACGTGTCCAGGAAATGAGCTACAAGTGTCGCATTGCTAGTGTCAAGCCCCTCCTGAACCAGAGACAACGGCAGAAACATCTTACCTGGGCTAAGGAGTAACAGAACTGGGCGTTGCTCGGTCCAATCTCATGTTTCCTGACGGCTTTTTTAAAAGTTATGTCATGCATGCCACAGACTCTTTTAAATGTCTTTCTAAACATTTCAAAGGAAAAGCTCTCAATTCAACTCGAAATAACGCAATGCTGCAAAAAACTTTCTTGTGCTTTTATTTTGTAGGCACAATCACTTAAGAAGAAGTGATCATGTGAGTAGGTATTATTGTATTTCAGCACCAGCTGCTATCAAATGTATGTATATAGGTAGGTAAGTATGTATGTAGTCATTTGGACCGCAGGCCGCCTCTTGTCGACCTCTGCTGTAGGTGAAACCAATGTAAGACGATTTTGAACAAGAGGCGCAAGGAGGCGTCACGTCGGCCCCTATGAACAGGCACTGCACTTGTCATTAAAATGATGAAAACAAACAATCTATCTCTTGGTTTTATCAGTTTTATGCAGCCTTGCAACATTACCGCAGTCCTCACCTTGGCCCCAGCTCTATTGTGTTATACCGGGAGGCCTATGAATCCATCCCTTACCCTGACAAGGAGTGGTGAGTGACAGCAATGCTTTATTTGGTCAGTAATCATTTTTAGATTCATGGGTCACAGATCTGAAGCTATCAGCCATCACCCATTTTTAGATGCTAGTCTTTTTCTTTCTCCATATAAAAGGTATTTTGTTACTGCGGTTTGTAATTGCTTAACACTGTCATATCAAGGAAGCAATGCTACAGTATTCTCCACAAACTAAAGAATAAGAAGTATTTGTTCTGGAAAAATTTGTATGATTTGATGTGTAGTCACATGTACAATAGGTACATAGTGAAAGTGTGTGTGTGTTTTTTATATTGCAGGCAGGAGTGTGTGTGGGTGAAAATGCCCATGCCTCTGTCCAGCTACATGGGCTTGGTGGAGTCTTTCTCGAGCTATCAGGCTCTGCTGAGAGATGACCCGCAGAAAGCCACCAACCTCTCCCAGGACGTCTCTCAAAGGTCAATGTCTAATGGTAGCATACATAGTGTGAAGTATGCATATCACACACACTACGCTACGATATCTTGTAAAATTAATATAAACAGTGCACAGTTTTGATTGATTCAGTATTATGTGTTACGACCAATATGCAAATTAACCTGGTAAACGTAAGTTTATTGGTTGCTTTTGATGTGTTGGAGCTAAGCATACTGTCTCCTGTGTTCCTCTCCCCAGGTTGATGTCCATAATGAAGGTGACCTCTTTGGAGACAGAGGTGGTGGTGGCTGTTAAATATTATTACCTTCTGGCCTGCAAACCTCAGGAAACCTGACTCCTGCCAGCACTAACAGTTTCAACCAAGCCGTGAATGTGCAAGCCCCCCAGTATTTGATCAACTTTTCTCTGAGAATGTTTTCTCTCTCTCTCAGGACAAGTTCGTGTGTTGGGTGTTTGTTACATAAGCTTGAGCTCTCTGCTTTGCCTACAAATGCCACTTATTTGAAAGGAATAGTTTTACACTTTAGGGAACGTGTTTATTCGCTGTCTTGCTGAGAGTTAGATGAGAAGTTAGAAACCACTGTCCATCTATTAATCAATCAAAAAATCATATAAAATAATACTGTATAATATAATATAAGCCTACCAGCTCCTCCAAAGCTCACTGATTAAAACATTAAGCCTATATCTTTTATCTAATTAATCTATACAAAATTATGAACAAAATTATAAACACACATTTTGGAGAGGCCTTTTATTGTGCACACCTGTGCAATACCCATGCTGTCTGATCAACATCTTGATATGCAACACCTGTGATGTCGATGGATTATCTCAGCAAAGGAGAGAAAGTCTTAGATCTTTGAGTTCAGCTCGTGATGAAGGGGGGCAAAAACAAAAGTGTTGAGTTTATAATTTTGTTCAGTGTATGTAATATTATACCTATCAAACTATTGCTTTAAAGTTACAGCAAATACTGTTTGTTTAAAAAAACATGCACAAATATGATGTATATTTACTCTTCAATATCTGCATCTAGCTTTCCTGTGCCTGCCTCTGTGCTGATACTGTGCTTGTATGTTTGCATCATATTACTGATTTGTACACAGAAAACATGTGTGCCTACATGTAGTATACATATAGTAGCTACACTTAAATGTTGTAAATGACTTCCCCACTGTGAACAAGTTTAGTGTGTGGAGAAGTCTGTCTTACAAAATACCACTAGAGGGAGGCATTTGATAAAAAGTTTATTATTGGCACTTCATGTGGTATATTTTATGGGTGGAGTGGTGGAGGAAGTAAACAGATCCTTTTCTTAAGTAAAAATACTAATACCACTCATCGGTATTAGCATAAGCTTTTTGTATGCTTTGTTTGCAAAGGTAACTAGTTACTAAAGCTGTTAAATAACTGTAAAAAGTACAGTATTTCCCTCTGAAATGTAGTGGAGTAGAAGTAGAAAGTGGCAAAATGACTCTGCAGTACAGTTACCTCACATGTGTACTTAATTACAGTACCACTTGGGGCTTTCACATCAACATATTCATGTATCACACACACAAAGATATTGTATATAACAATCATGCCATGCTGTGTGTCTTTTTTCTAAACAATACTGCCACTTTCTTGAATCGTCCTGTGGAGTATTTGAGTGACGAGAGGCAAGAGTGCACTGTGTTGGTGTCAGAGCTGAGGCAAACTCTGCTGCTTTCTGCTGCAGAGAAAAGTCAGGCATGAGGAATGAGACTTGTCATCACTCTGAGACATCCTCAAACTTTCTTGTCAGGCTTGAATGTCTCATCAGAAGCAGGGCTCCTTCACAGTCAGCCTTGAATGTTATTTCTTCAGGCTGTCCTTCTGATTCCTACGATTCTTGTCATCTTCACTCGCTTGACAGGCAATTCTAAGGCTACATTTACACAGAAAGGGTCGGACTGTTAGCCCGTATCGATTTATCTTATCTGCTGTTTACACCTACTCTTAAATGTGAATCATATTCAATTATTGTGGTTTATAAAAGTGGTCTGCATGTGCAGGTGAATGAGTACAGTATTTCCCTCTGAAATTATAACATTACAGACAACTTTTTAGTCAGAGGATCACTGAATAAGTAAATTTGGCTGCTCTCAGTAACCACATTTAGTCTGAATTTAGGTTTGGATTTATACTTTTCTTCATCACTTTTTTTTATGTTCTCACAGATTTCACACCTTTGTCCACATGGCCTTAGACGACTCTACAGCTTATCTGTGACAGCTATTGTCTTCTCATCTGACACTTTAGCACAGGAGCACCAGAATACTCCTATTGTAAGATATCTTCTTCTGCACAAATACGTCATTTATTGTAAGTGGTGATTCCTGTAATTCTTCATCCTCATTAGTCGTGTGTGTGATGCTTGCCATGGTCACGTCAATGTAATGGCATCCCCCCTCTGTTTTCACACCAATGTGGAAATGCTCTTGGCAACCCTTTTTCCACCACTGGAAGATCTGCTGTGACAGAATTCTGCACTTTTATTCTTCATCTTTCTCACAAACAGAACCATGCAAGATGACTTTACCTGTGAGGTCCGGCCTCTGTTTTGGCTTCTGAATCTCAGTCCGTGTTGGGGACATTTGTTACAAACACACATTTTAGTGTTGGCAGTGCGGAAGTGTTCCGCCTTCAGTCGTTTTAGTGCTATTGATAGCTGCAGGCATGACTTGAGTCCATGACCTGAATCTGACTGATGCAGGTGTTCTGAGTGGGCATGTTTGCAAGGCAAATCTGAGCCTTTTATCTGTTGAGCTGTATGATTCATTCATATCTCCAACAAACTGTGTGCTATTATCTGGAAGATCATTGATGGGAAACATTACTCAGCACACGTTCTGCTTCAAGTCATTTGTAACCTGTTTTTGAAATGTCTTTTCATGATGGGATGCTCCCTTTTAAAATACAGTGGATCAGTCTGTCTCAGACTTCACTTTTATACACTGACACGCGCACGCACGCACACACACGCATGCATGCAATGCAGTGTTATAAAACAGGAGTCACATACAACCCCAACGTCCGCCACAAAGGATTATCAACCAAGCACTCATATTTGAATATACAAATATGAGTTAAAACTCATTTGCATACTCATTTGTATTAGGCACAAGAAATGTCTTTCCTCCTCCTCCCACATTCAAATTGTGTCTATCAGAGAGAGAGTGAGAGAGACTTGAAATAATGTTTCTCTGTGACAGAAGCAAATAGCCTTCAATGATGCCAGGCTGATAGTAAGGTGTTTGCTCGGTACATTCAGAGCATACATTCAGAGCGAGTTGGACTGACTTCAAACCAAACGAACTGTCAAACAGTGAGCATGTCGGGTGTGTCTGCTATACAGATGTTTCAATCCCTTCATTGAAAGTGCTCACTGCATCTGTGCTAAAACTAAAAGCCCAACTTGACTACTGTGGACATTGAAACATGAAAGAAACATTCCGAATAAACTTTATTTAAACGTAATGATATGGCACGAAGTGAATAATACTCATGTCACTCAACTTTTGCATCAACAAAGCGGATATTCTAATAAATTTCAATAAAAATGCTTTCCCTGGTTCATTGTGGACTGTACTTTCATAACAAGTGTAACAAGAAGCAAAAAGACATTCCTCCCGGGATTCAATACATGAGTCACCTGATGATATAAGCTTTTCATAGCTACAAGCCTGTGACTCTTGGTAGTTGTGTACATTTCACATTACATTGCATTTCCACATGCTTGAGGACAGTACAACAAAGTGTTGGCAACAACTTGTTCTTACTATCAAGTTACACATTACATGTCTTTCTGAATATCAACTCGGGAATGTACATCAATTCTAATGGGACCCTGAGGGAAAACGGATGGATAGGAGCTACTCATCTAGCAGCTGCCCTGTAATGTGTTAGTAGCGGCTATAAACTGTATGTCTTCTTCTGACTTGACAAATGAGCGCTTGGTAGATGTTAACCTGATGCACTTAACTCAGATTCTTACCGTTCTCAGAGCCTGCTTCTGCAGTTAATTTAACTCACATTTAATTCAACTTCTAGTAACTACGGTTAAAAAAACCTCACTATGCCATCATTTAGCACTACGTGTTCAGCTTACACAAAAGTAATTCCTTTTCTCCAATTTATTTCAAATGGAGTATAGTTCTTGGTTTTTTATAGTTAGAGCAACCAGTGCAGTGGCATTAACGTAAACATGCAGTATCAGATGGGATTTACGACATGTGCATTAGTCATGTTGCAGAGAATTTTTCCCCTTATACAACAATAAACTCATATTTGGGTCATGCGGTCCAGCAGGGAGAGCAAAGCCCCCAGTGTAACACTTTATTTTTACATGATTAAGATTACAGCCACTGGGGCTGCTGTCACTGCTGCTGCAGCCTGATCTCAATTGACAGCAAGATGTCAGCTTAATGTAAATACAGAGGAACTAGTGGTATAACACTGATTATTTACGAAAATAAATTTAAGGAGGGTCGTAAGTCAAACATTGAAATAATAAAAAGTGTTTGTGGAAATTATTCAAATGTGAGCAAAACTTATGACATCCCAACTGCTTCAGCACAAATGATTAAATGTTAGCATGCAAGAGAGCGAGCATGGTAAACATGGACCTGCTAAACATCAGCATGTAAGCATTGTCATTGTGAGAATATTACAATGCATGAGCATGAACATGAGCTTTGTGTACTTACAAAACGTCAGTAAAACCTCCATAAAAATGTGTCATGTGGAGTGTAAACGACACAACCTCAGTCCAGTCAATCACTGAGTGGACAAAAAAATTGCGTGACCTGTTCCATCAGTTAAATAAGTCATGGATAGGAGGGGAAGATGAAAGTGAGGAGACCAGTTAATTGCCCTTAAGACAATCCAAACCCTGGATTGTACACAACACAGAAGCATGAGACAAATCCTGACATTTGTATATCCGGCATAGCAGACAGCAGTTGTTTTTGACTTTACATGACCATTTTTCAAGTCCCTGTTGGGCTGCAGACATCAAAGTTGACATAAGCTAATTCAACATTTCATTTTTCAAAAACTGTTCGAGAAGATAAACAGAAGTATAAAATTCCTTAAGGTGCATCCTCCGTCATTTAATTGCTCCCTTTGGGTAGAGAAGCAACTCTTCACGCTGCTGTTGAGCTCAAAGACCCAGAAGTGACAGATAAACTTATTTTGAAAGTGAATGCCTCTATCTTGAGTTCTGGATTTACTCTTTTATGGGTAATTTGAGGAGGACCAAGTACATCTGGATTTGTGACTTTATGTTTTTTTATCTCTTCCTCCTGACAAGGCTTCATATCTCCTTTCTTAATGCTGATTTTTCTCTTTTCATTGTTTGGATGTTCATATATTTTTCAATATTCAGCTGTTCAGGATTTTAGTCAAAAGAGTTTATTTGGCTATTCTCTCCCATTTTGTTACAACTTTACCACTCCCATAAATAAATACATGTATGCTTTGTCCTCACTTGACATCCAGTGAATAACAAAAGAAATGTGTTAAGCTCACCATGTGAAGAGGAAAGAGTGAACATAACATTGTCACGTGGGCAAATCCTTTGGCGTCATCGCAGAAAGCCTGATGGCCAACACCTGTCTAAACAGATGTAGATGAAATACAATATAATCACCCGCTCCAATATTAAGACTCCTCTTTTTTTTTAAACTGTGCAGGTCAGTCAAGAACATGTTCTTGTTTACAGTGACAGCGCCCACGCCCCCTGGGTCCATAGCAACTGGCTGAGTGAATCACAGTTTGTCCAAATACTTTAGGGTAAATTGGGTTTGCTCCAAAAAGTGCATGAGCTGTCCTGTCAAACAGCGAGTCTCAGTTTTCCATTTTGCAAATGGTGCTCTTTTCAAGGCGCGCGCGTGTGTGTGTGTGTGTGTGTGTGTGTGTGTTTACAGGACAGGCAGATAGGAGGGTTTATTGTGTGGAGTCTCATTCCTAAACATTATACTAGAGCTATTTTTTTAATGCCACTGATATTGAACTAAGTTTTTATTCCATTTTGAAATTTGCTGTAGTTCTATTGTGACTCTTGGAAGGTATTATTAACCTGTTCAAATAGTTAATTTGGGGGAAATTGGCAGAGCAAAATAAATCAGAATAGCACACTGACAAGGATTAGGACAAGCATACAGCATAAATATTGCTTTGTATTCTGCAAATATTTTCTCTTGTCTCATTTGATTGTAGAGAGCTCATTTAAAACTCTGGTTTAAATTGGATTGGTATGGATTGGTAAAGATTGGGGAAATGGAAGAATCTTTTCTGGGCTACGTGCTAATGTGCCCACAGGTTTTGCTACATGTAAATTGTGTAAATATTGGAAATGATATAAATGTATTCTACAACACAATGAAAAACAGTTTTGTGACTGAATGGTCATTTTCAATCCCGACCCGAACCTACTACAACTCCCAAGAATCGCCTACTGCTGCGCGGAACTGTTTTTTATCTGCCGCCACGTCTACACGGACAACAATAACGACCGGCACTCGCTGCGCTTCCGTTGCCCATGACACCGGAACGAAGTTCTGACAGCTGATTCTCCAGTCAGTTTAAATCCTCTCCGAGACCCCAAATAATAATTTTAGAAGTTATTTCCAGTCGGACGCTCCTCCTACAATCTCCGGCTTGAGTTGCAGACAGCGAGCAGAGGAGGGCAGCTGATTATGGTGTAGCACGGAGCGCTAGCTCTGAGACAGCAGGTAAAAAAAACAACGCTGAGATAACACATACAAGCTAACGCTGGCTAGCAGAGATACTTCGTTAAAAAACTTAAACTTACTTCTTAGAGACAGTCCACTCCACATGTGTGAGGAAAACGCCTGAGCCGAGGCTGGTTTTAGAATCGGACGTTGTGTCAAGCTAGCTGTGATTAGCAGTGTTAGCGGTCTGTTAAAACGGTTAGTGAACGAGCTAAAAGTGCAGTGACGAGGCGATAACTTAACTTATAAATGTATTTATATTAGCATTAATCCTAAACCTGTTTTACTTCTGTCAGTATCGCAAGAGGTCTTGTGGCATACGGACTTGCTTGCTTTAGTTTTTGTCACCTGTGAGTTAGAGGGATAATTTTAAAATTAAATACAGGCTGTATATTTTTTATTGAACAGGTGAACTCACTCCATATGCTGCCAGTGAATGATTATTTACGGTTATAGCCAATAAGCTTGATATTCTGCCAAAAGTGCTGTGGACCCAGGGGAAGTTGGCGTGATTGCAGCCACTAGTAGTCTGTGTCAGGGTGCAGTGACTGACAGTTGAGGCAGGTGGGTGACACACATTTTATGAGTTCACTGATACCGGATACCTTCACTCTCTGCTACTGCTGCTCCACAAATCAGCTGGCCCAGTCAGTGCTTAGACTGGACTCCCAGTGCAGAGATGCCAGTGAACTACTCCCTTATCGAGGTTAAAAGACCTGGGGAATTGGACAATAACATTAGTGAAAAAGTTGTTGTGGGCTGTAGCAGAGGTTAAGTGAGCGACGCAAGCAGTTTGTCAGTGTGATTGTTTGGCTGCTGCACTTGGCAAGATGATTGTTGATGTCTTTAAAAAGTTTTGACATGTTCTGAAAATTTCTTTGCATTGTTATTTATTGGGGATTTTTAGATTGCATTTTGAATTTAAAGTCATGTTACTCATCATGATCTATATTTAAATGTACTGAATTCTGGATTGTGTGCAATTCTTAACTTTTGAATGATTACATTTTTAGGTAATTTGGGTAAGGGTGTGAGTCTTTCAGTATTTCATGAAAACATTTCATGGTTCCAGCTTGGAAGTTGTTCTAATTAAAAAAAAAAAATTGTTTATCATTTGAGGTTGGACTGAAGTTGGCATTTTTCTGCATTAAGTACTTTTACGTTTAATACTCAGATACATTTTCCTGATTACACTCACAAAGTTTTGCTTATGAACATTTCAATGCAGGACTATAACTTTTAATATTTGATAGTGGTCTTAGTACTTTTACTGAATTAAGAATCCGAGTACTTCCTCCAGCACTGCCCCTCTCTGTCTATTAAGGTAAACAAACACATTGTTATATTTACTGTGTTTTCTAACAAGTTCGGTTAGCAAACCCACAGCCTCACTCTGCTGAGTGTCCCCCTTGAAGGAAGGTAGCCTTGTCGGTAACTGTTTGTGTGACGCAGACCAGCAGGGAAGCAAGTCTCTCCTGGTGTGTGAGAGAAGTACCAGAAAGAAATAAGAAGTTCCTCTTTATCCCCACCCCTAAATTTGGCTATTAAGTATAAAACACTTTGACATACACTATTTTTGTCAGACTTATTAGCAGGATGGCTCTTCTTGATTGAAATAATTTAATCTGATACATATAATGGCAAATTATCAATAGTTAAAAGGGCAGTTATAATGGAACAGTGTCTAAGGAAAAAGTCCCAGCAAATTAGTAAACATTAGCAGAGGCAGACCCACACTCAGTCGGTTTGTTGTTGCGTGGCGCTGACAGTTAAAAGAAGATGTGTTTACAAAGAGTGAATGCTTTCATCTCTTGAGTTTAACAACGTCATGCCATATAAT